CCCTCCAGGTACTGGCCAGGCCCACACTGCTGGGCTGCAGGGGGATTCAGCTGCTGGTGTGTCTGCAGGAGCTCCCTGCGTTAGGAGCGGGGGTTCCCCCGGAGCTGCCGGAGCAGAGCAGGGCTGCCGTGAGGCTGGAGAAACGGCTCGTCTCTGCTCAGTCCCCGCTCCGATCCGCCGGGCCCGAAGTCTCACTGGCGCGTGGGGAGAGGAGAATATAGTTCAGTCTCCCGGCGAGCCTCGATCCAGCCCAGTGGAACGAACACCTGAACACGCCCTCCGCGCGCCTGGACGCTCGTGTGCACCTCGAGCCCGGAGGCCCGGAAGCCCCCCCCCACCCACCCAGGTCACGCGCGGGCCGGAGGATTGACGAGCCAGGCCCGGTCGCCGAGGGGGCTGCTGGGATACGGGCCTGCTCCCTGCCAGGTGCCCCTCGGTATCGCCGGACTCGTGCAGCTCCAGGGAGAGGTCTGGGAGTGAACCCTGCCTGCGCCCGAGTGAGAAAACAATACCCAGGGGGGGTAATTGGACTCCGCTGTGTTTACTGTTTATTGCTCTTGTTTGGCCAGGGAGCTGCGTGTACTGGGGAACAGCGCTGGGACTCTGCACACGGTCTCAAAACATCTGACACAGCCGGCGATAAAACTGTTTTATGGATCCAGCTTGTGGCTACAATTTAAATTCCTGTTTGAGAATTAAATGGAACCATGTGTGTGTGTGAAATGGTGTTAACTCAGAATAACAGCAACTTTCCATGAGCAGAACTGAAGGACAGACAATTTCTGCTCCTAGTACTTGAGCACTTTTAAGAGGTCATACCTTTGTGCTTTACCCAACTCATGAGAGATTTACTTGGTTACGTTTCTCCTAGAGTAACAGGTCTGCATCTCAGCTTAAACAGGAAAACGATGACAATAAAAGCAGAACAAGAGTACACAGAACAGAGCATGGATCTCTTCTGGCTTCTTCAATCACTGAACAGGATGACAGTGGACTCTCTGACACACACACACCCTCTGCTCCTCCAGTCCAGTACAGAATCCACTGGAAGTACGAGTCTCATCACTGTTCCCACTGTGGGAAGAGTTCCAGTCAGTTCACACAAAGAGTCAGCTCTTTGTCCACTCCTCAAACCTGAAGAGAATCAGGTACAGAGACTCTGTACTGAGTGTTAATGTGCTGTAGGTCCCAGTCACTGTGTCTGAGACAGAAGGGTTAATACAGACACACTGACTGGACACTCCAGTACATGAACACTGCACTGAGAGAGAGAGGGGTTCATACAGACACACTGACTGGAC